AGGGGTAATTATGATTGCAGGACCTGCAGCCTAGGAAAAGCAATTTCAATACTGATGAGGCCCCTAGGTAAATGAATGTATGAGACCAAATCATTATCATTGAGCGCGTTTATCTAGGCTTGCCACTAGATATGTACATATCGTACCCCACTATCGATCCCCACTATCGTACCCCACTATACGATCGTGATTTGCGGGATGTCGCGTTTATCGACCCTTCACGATTCAAAATAAAGGCCTTGTGTCTGCCCAGCTGTTTTGACCCGGGAAGCAGACAGTTTCTCGGAGGTCAACTTCACACGTATGCTTGTACACAATACCTGGGTGGTCCTATTTGTATGTGAGGTTCAAAACAGCTTTGCGTTTATCGATCTCTCAGAAACGTGATTATGGCTGTATGTCACATTCAAAACGCACCTTTTTGCGTCTTTAGATATGCCCATATCTAAAGACGTTTGAAAAAGGCTTTGCGTTTATCTACTTCTAAATTTGCCTGAAAGACGTTTGAGAAACCTGATTCTAGCCAAAAATTTGCTAGATAAACGCAACCATAGTCAGCAGCAACCACGTTGGATTAATTCACGTATGTTAACCCAAATAAACACACACCCACATCCGCTAAATGCGCAAACACACCCACGCACACGGGCTCGCGCATGTACTGCTATTCTTTTTTGAACAACTTTAACCGCTCGACTTAAAGTGAACAACTCACTCATGACAAGGCCATTTAATGTGACATACCTGGTGGTGGAGGTGGTGGTGGAGACCGTCTGCGTCGACGCCAGGCATCTACATGTATATCACAGACAAGAAAAAGAAACATCTAATATGTAGAATTGTCTATGTAAACGTTTACCTTTTTACCGTATGTTGGTGTATAATTGGTACTTTGGTGATTTTGTTACTACGTTTTGGTAATCAGGTGTCAACAGATAATTGTTAATAGCTGCTCACATCAGCAGTCCCTGTACGGAGAGTCCCAAATAAACCAATCAAATTGGTTTGCTGCACATCACATGATGTTCACTAATCTATTCAACAATAAAAAGTACTTTTATTAACTCTTTACATGTAACGTAAGCAATTCACGGAGGACAAAATGTAAGTATGTGGAATAGTAACACTTGCATAAAGTTAGGTTGCATCGGATGGAACGCACAAAGCATCACCATGTATTCCACTAAGATATTTAAGCTTGAGGTTACGGTAAAATCAAAGAGTGGTGTTATCAGGCTCTTGGAACTAAAGGAACTTCTAAAAAAATGTTAGTCCGAACATGCCGAAAGGTAAGATAAATATAGAGGGAAGGCTTGCAAGTCATCTTACTTTTTCGCTACCAATAATATCAAGCTTATAACATCTGTCAAAACTTTTTCTTGTATTAAGTTCTTTTGGACTCATGCTAGAATATTTATATATAATGCTATCGAGGCATACCATATTAAAAGAAACAGCATAATGTGTTGTGTAAACTTATAAAGAGTTCAAAATTCCTATTGTGAATTATAGGTTTCAACAGTAGTTCAAAGCTATTTTCAATAATATAATAACCCCAATTACGCAGTTTAATTGCTATACTTGGTAATATCTTCACATTTCGTTAACTTTAAATTATTCACACTGTCCTACACACAAAAGAACGGAACTAAGTATGGTGAGTAAAAATCGTAGCTCACTCTTTCAGTCGAGAGAATATATCTAATAAATGCATTATTTCACACATTTGGTGAATACACCACCTTTTTCTTAGTGAAATTTAATGATATTTAAAACGAGTATGTGACCCGATTATTTTCTCGATGAGTCTTTTTACTCATTAAAGTACATGTAAATTAATATTGGATGAGTATTCTCCGACTTTAGTGACCGAATGAGTAAAAATATTCACAAGTGTGTAGAGTGGCTTTTTGCTTCCTAATATGTCAAAGACTCTTTATTCGTTGGATGAGTAAAAAAAACAAGAAACCTCAGTCTCTTCGAAGCTTTACTCGTCTTAGGAGCTATCTTACTCTTTGCATGCGTGTAAATATTTCGTTGATGAATATTCGTACGCGTTCGTGATCGTACGTACGTACCCGATTGTCACGTTTTTAGCAGCCGACGAGCCACAGAATAAGTGTAAGTAGATTTGATTTTTCTTAATTTTGAATCAGTTAGTAGTCAGGGGATCCCTTATTCAGACTTTTTCTAAAACAAGTTAAGGCTACCGATTAGATATAGAATCTAGATCTAGTGCTGAAATTTGAAGCTCTTCTTGTGCACAACCGAAGTGTATGGAGTGCATGGCGAAGGACTTCCATTTTTACAGTGACAAACATACAAACTTTCTTCAATTTTTCTTAGTGCGAAACACTAGGACTTCGTCGCACAGAATCTGTCGAAATCTCCACAATTGGACGTTATTCGACTTATATTCGGTCATACATTTGTTGATTGAACCTAGGTCTTTATTACTACACGTCGATTTTGTACTTTTGCTTTTTAGTAGATCCCCCACTTTATAGATTGATTTATATGAGTGTATTCTCTGTTATAACTATTATCATGTACATTATGTTTTCTATATTGTATGTTTAGTTATAATAATTACCATTGTTCATTATGTTCAATTATGTTATTTTTGATAAAGTGAAATAAAATAAACTTGAAACTTGAAACTTGAAACTTTTTAATCGTATTTCTCGCCATGGAAATACATGGTTTTGATGCTACCGTGACCGGCACCACTGACGGCACCACTGCCGAGAGCTCCGGCGCGGCCGGACGGACCAGCGGCAGAAAAGGGCCGTAACTGAGTAATTGAAGCATTACTCACTACTTGAGTTGGAGCGATTTACTCACAACATTAGGCTAAATAACTCAATAATTAAAATACTCATTTGCCATGTCACTATAATGTCAAATCAACAAAACTCATTCCTGTGCGTTATTATTCTCAATTTAATGAGTTAATGTATTCAGTTAAGTGTGTCACTATAGTGTAAAAGTTTATTTGCCTATTTGAGTAAGATTACCCAAATATTTCTTTGTGTGTACATCTAATATGCCTGGTGCATTACAGTGGTTCTTGTCAAGGGCGTAGAAGGGTTGGTTTCAGGGGCGTACGCAGGGGGGGGGGGGTGTTTTGGGGGTTCAAACACCCCCCTTTGGTATTTTAATGTATGTAAACCCCCCTAAAAAAACCTAAAACCCCCCCTTTGGCTTTTTGTTTATTTATTTATTTTTATTAAAAAAAAAAAAAAAAAAAAAAAAAAAAAAATTATACCCACGGCTAACCTAAATAAGGTGACCTTACCCCCCCCCCCATACGTAAAATAGTGTCAAATTTTGAAATTTTGAGACCAAAAAAAAAAAAAGTGTCCAAGTCCCGCTTACCCCCCCCCCCCCCCCCCCCCCCCCCCCCCCCCCCCCCCCCCCCCCCCCCCCCCCCCCCCCCCCACTGAGCGACTTTTCTGCCGGCTGAGTCGTTGCGATTTTTTTTGGCCTTCAAAAAAAAAAAAAAAAATTGTCCGCTTAGCGTAATGCTCCTAATGTCGAGACTTCAAACCCAGTATAAATCGTCCTATCACAAAATGTTAGGTATGCACTGAACATGTTATATCGCTATTAAATTCACAGAAAATGTCTACAAATCGGCTGAATACAAATTAGGAACATCAGCGCTTCTTAATTTAACCTCAATAAAAATGAATTGGGGGAACGGATCCATACCAGCAAAATGACTAAAATTCAATCAGGAGGTCTTGCTATCGCCCTATAGCAGTGCGTAGTTCTGACTAATGTTGCTGGACATAAGACTTGATGTTTCTCTGACACCCTGGTTGTCCTTCCCCACTTAGGACCAGACCATGTGGAAACCTTCCATTTCTCCCGAACACCAAGTAGAAGGGTTCGACACCAGTACCCGCATGGACAATGTTGTTGTAGGCATATACCGAAGAGGGAAGGTAACGCTTCCAACATCGCTTCTTGCTCTCAGGCAGAGATCCCAGCATAATATGTTGTGCAGAGTGCGATTCAGGCGTCCACACTGGCCATGAGCTGAACACACTTCGCGATGTTTCTCCAGAAGACCCTCTACTGTAGATCAGAGCGTCCTCCAAGAGACAAACTCGTTCAGTCCACATCCACCGGATTCTCATTATTCTTGACTGACAGTTCATCTTGCTCTATACCTCTCGCACGACTGATGCATTGCCGTAAAGGGCATCCAGTTGGACACCCTTTGGGATCTCATCTTTCTTATCGCAGAGCACAATGGGGAATCGACATTTCTCTATCCGAACAAAACATGGCTGGATATCTATTCCTACCGGTAGGGCGCTTCATTTTTCGGGCTCTATAGAAGCACTTCAAATGGCCCCTTACTCGTTCCAGTTGTACTTTGTGCTTCAAGCACCACTGTCTGACCTGCCGATATCACAACACTTAATTCCCTCCTGTCTGAGACGGGCTGTTCCAATGGCATCCCTCGCTTGGCTCAACTTGATACGGTTGTCGACTGCTTTGAAAGCCTTCTGCCGGGCTGTATTAGGATCCGGCCTCTGCAAGTAGTCTTGCCCTTTTTTTATTAGATGCTCCCAGTATTCCTGCAGTATTTTCATGCCTAAACTCCCCGATGCGATCATGTGGCTATGTTCGCTGGCTGTAATGTCTCTGGTCACAAGAAAAACTCTACTAGGAACCAGGCGGCCAAGCGCTTCCACATCGGTTTCGAAGTATCCCACATGTGGTATTGCATCTCTGCTTGCCGACAACACAGTGAAGGAGGTAGGAATCTCCTCTATCCTAAAACCAGCATGCCTCATCGTTAAAAACGCCTCGTCTACTGTTTTCACCTGGGACTCCGGGTCCAGCAGGCAGGGAACTATAACTCCCCCAAACTTCACTTCACCAGAGTAACACTCTCAACAGCCCAGGAGAGAAAATTGTCTGCCACTTCGTCCCCAGTTTGCAGCCTGCACCTCTGATAGTTGCCCTATTAAAGGAGCCTGTTCTTACCGTAAATCAGGTTGTTCATGTGCATTGAAACGTGATGTAGGCGATGGTGTTCCATTCTGCAGGAGTCGAAGATGATGGGGCAATTGGTAGTCCTGGTAGTGGCGTCCGGCGTAGGCAAATGTACTGGTACAGAAAAGGGTCCGGTCTGTTGTACCCAGCCAAGTTGCCAGGTGGATGTCGAGAATATGGTTGCCCGGGATGTGACGCCCACCCATCGGGTTGGGAAAAGGGTAGCGCGCAGATGGTCGCCCTCTTGGTGCCCAACGTCTCTCCCTTCTACCACGTCTATACCGATCTGTATACTGGGGGGCCTGTCCCCTGTCTTGACGTGCACTGTCCTTGGACACGAGCATAATGTCCCCGTCCGCTACAATAATACTGAAGCATTGTACATTCTCTGCATTGCGAGGCAAGGGTGGTTTCATCGATGTTGCTAGGTTGCTAACTGCTCCGACGACTCGATCGGTCAGTTCCTTTACTGCTCTCACCATCTCTTCTACACCTGGCTGGTTTGTCGGTGTTTGTAGCGGTGGCTGGAGGGCCGTCTGGAACACTGTTCCTGTGGAAGTCTTGTCGCTGTTCCTTCCTGATGGAAACCTCCCTGAATTCAAAACTTGATCGACTCCCAAATTCTCAATATCATCATTATCAAGATAATAAATTATATTTCCATAAAATTAATACCCTTCAACCACATTTATTCACTTTAGTTCACTTAGTTCCTGAAGAGAGTTTTTAAAGTGAGTTCTTGAAGCAATGTTCTTTCATCACCTTGCCATGCACATCGCCTTCGTTCTATCACGCATTGCTTAATTATGTTCAATGTGTCCGCGCATAACTATAATTAATCAATCTATGACAATTAAAAGGAACGGTCAATATTCTGTTTAAAAATAGAAAAATGCAAGAGCGCACTTGCAGGTCATAATGGAACCCAATATCTTTCCATTATGAGGCAATCGCTTATCCACAAGACCACTTTGCCTCACTGCTCCTCGATCGCTACTTCGCTTCTTTTCGTTTTACTTTCTGTTATCAGTGGCTTTAGAGAATGTAGACTTACCCTTTGTAGGTGCCCTTTTTTCTTTTTCCAGAAAGTGCCCTTTTCGTTGTAAACACACCAAACACGTCCTCAATACACTACACGTATATTCAAATTCAAATTCACAGTTTATTCAACACTCTTCATAAAACATTTAAAACATACAAATACAGAATGGAGTTATAAAAAAAACAAGACAGTGATATCAAATACAATGGCAATTAATAAGAGCATTTGGGATAGGCAGAAAGGAAGGATTCCTTATATAAAAGCCTACCCCTAAAACACACATACATGAAAACGAGAACAAAAGAACAGAACAAAAAACAAAGAACATACTTAAACTTACTATCATGCACGATCAGAGTAAAAAAAAGAGTCAAAATGTGCCTATGCTATTAATACTGATTATTATACTTATTCAACAGAAATTGTTTATATTTAATTTTAAAAAGATTGAGAGTTTAGCATTTTTTAATTTCCTGCGGTATACTATTCCATATTAATGGTCCTTTAAAAAATAGTGAATTTTTCATACAAGTCGTTCTAATCTTGGGGAGGTGATAATTTAGGGCATTTCTAGTATTAAAATTATGCACATCACAATTCAAGTTAAAACATGTTGATAAAAAAAGTAGGCGAATTGCCATTAAAACATGAAAACATGAAAACTGCAATATAAAAATTATGCATATCGATTACATTTAAAATTCTAAGTTTACAAAATAAAGGATTACAGTGAGCATAATATTGGAATGAGTTATAATGCGTATTGCTTTCTTTTGAAGCTTAAGTAACCTTAACATATCATTTTTATTAAAATTTGCCCATGCAACTATACAGTAATTGAAATATGGTGTTATTAAAGTATGATACAACATTTTCAGAATGTTTAAGGGATGAACTTTATATAAAATACCGATGTTTTTTGCTATTTTATTACACACCACATTTATATGCTCATGCCACTTCAGTTATGATTAATTACAATACCTAAAAACTTAAGATTATCTACACGTTCAAAATTATGATCATTTACTCGTAAATGAATGTTGTTAAAATCAATATTTCTATTTGTAAAAACAATAAACTTAGTTTTATCATAATTTAAAACCAATTTATTATATAAAAACCAATTAGAAAGTTTCAACATTTCTTGCTTAAAAACATTTTGTAAAACCTGGACATCAGAATGAGACATAAAAACACTTGTATCATCAGCAAATAAAATAAACTTCAGTTTATCAGAAATATTGCACATGTCATTAACATAAATAATAAATAAAAGAGGTCCAAAGATGGATACAGTTAATGCACATGTGGGCAAACTTTGTTGTTTTTGTGGGAATCAAATCAATTACTTTGGGTTGCTTTAACTTTTCACTGAAAAGAGATATAAACCTCTCCTATGCACATGATATTGTCCATGTACATGGGCAAATTCCTGGAAAGTAACGAAAAATGGCCCATCTCCAATTTTGATGGAAAACAACGTTTTGCTTTTATTTAATTCAATATTTCGAAGAAAAAAAAAATCACAAAAATCATTTTTTTACTTAAATTTTTGATGTTAATTAATCCCAATTCCTATGATATTTTTTATCAAAATATAGATAATTTAATTTTCTTTCATCAAGGTTCCCTTAAAATATTATTCACAAAATACCTTTTTTCGTCAAAATGGCCTCTGTTTTGGACGCCCCCTCCAATTTACGGGTGTTCGCTACAAATTTAAGAAAAACACCTCTGATATATTGTGTATTATGATAAAATCTTTCGAAGGAACAAGGTGTACTTATGGTTTGTGTAGTAGTGGCAGGCAAACCCCTCTTTCTGACTTTGGCTCTCCGCTTATTCGTGATCTAAAAAGTTTTTAACTTCGAACTGTTCGTAATTTCACATCTGGTGTAAAGATTGTTACATTTATTTGCATGAATAAGATTTTTCTTCCTGATTACGTTCGCCAAAATCTCAATTACTTATACTAATAGAAATAAATAAGGCGACAGAGGATCACCTTGTTGAACCCCACGTTGGAATAGAAAGTATCCCGTGAATGACTCCCGTTCATAACTGACATATATTCACTTGTGTATATAAAACTTTGACCTATTTGCAAAACGACGTCCCCAATCGTTTCAAACTCTGAAAAAAATTAATACGAAAGAGAATGAATTCAATTCAATTCAATTCAAAATCATTTTATTCTTGAACATCAAATAAAACATTAGATTGCACATTCTTAAATAGTTACATTTGAACAAGAAAAGGTGGACAACAAAAAATATACACTTGAAAATAGGAAGCCTCCAGATTATTACATCGTGTGTACATGTCAGATGAAAACACATTGTATACAAAAATATAAATGACATATATTAAAAAACAAAATAGAATCATTATACACGCACATACGCACACACGCACACTCACACACACATCCACACACACACACCTACCATCACAGAGAGAATTAACACATTGCCGATCCATCGTACAGCTTCTCCTATGTAAGATCTTCCTGGACGAGCAAACTGCAGGTTGTGAATGTTCTTGTATCTATGTTCAACTGCTCTCCAGGTCTTCATTAGGGGCTTCTTTATAGCACCCATAATCACATAGTGGTCTTGAGCTTTCAATGGAGCCACTTGTTTCTCATGTCCATGTCTAGTCTGAAACCAAGATATTATATCTGTCATCTGTACCCCTAATGTCTGTAAGAGCATACCACAATATACATCGTCCCAGGGTATCGGTGCAGCCATCTTCTGAGAGGCACGATAGATATCATGGGCGACATCTCTGGAGACGATATACCCGTATCCTCGAGGAAAAGGAGACCATATCTTCTCCGAATAGAATTGATATGGAGTATACCACTTGCTCTGAGTATCTCGTTGAGGTTTCCAGCCAATTGCAGGCTCGGCTAACACAAACTTCGAACGAAACGTATTTGCTTCGAGATCGTTGACAAGGTTAACGATGTCCACAATGACATCGTCATCTGTTGACATTACATAATAACTATTGTTACAGAATGTGGACGCCCATTTGGCGGCCATGATGAGTTTAATGGTTAGATTGTAGTAGCTATCAATAAAGTCCTCTTGTAGAATATCTCCGTGAATATCAGCCTCACTTTGAAGCTGAGCTTGCAGGGTTGAATTATATTCCCCGGAGATTCCAGTAAGAAATACAATCATCGCAGAAACATTGTACTTAACCACTCCCTCGCCATATGTTTCTCTGATGATATTCCTCCGTTTTGCACTACTCACTTTTGTCTTTACGAGAATAAGCAATGTCCTGTTTTCTGATTTCTTGCATCCATTCTCTGGGTAGATGAGATAGCGATACTCATGCAGGTCTAATTTGGACTCCCATTGAACATTCTGTCTCCAACCAAGCAGTTTCTCTTTATCACTAGAATAGTTTGAATAGTTTGATAAGCGATGTTTTTTCTTGTTGTCTACTGATTTCCTTAAGTAAATGAGAAAGAGAAAGCTAGATGCAGAATACACTAAAAACAAGCACAAGAATATCTTCTTTATGGACGACATGTTGACGAGAGACTATATCCAAAAAGTCGAAGGCACGTATACTGGAGCACAGGTAGGCAACAATGAATGAAATATAGCCAGAGTCCAATGTTCAATACGGTTAATATTTAACACTTGATACCGAAATCAGTCCTTCCCATATCAGACAACAAAATATATGGAACAACACTATGATTCGTGGAAACAAAAATGTAATATTCATAAAGTCATGGTATGACAAAGGTACAATTAAATTTTCTTGACGAAAATGGTAATATTTTTACCTTCTTTCAATTTAGAAAAAACAAATATAAGTTTGAATACAATTTTGTAGAATTTTATTCTGTGAAAACGGCTATTCCCCATAATTGGAAAAATAATATCCTTAAATGTTCAGAGGCAGACCCAACAGCTCAAGAGGAACTGATTAAAAATATAATGAAGGTAGCGAAGATATGTCGCTATATTCATAATTTAAGTGTTCAACATGTTTTTAGTCCCCCTAAATCAATAGATCAATGGAATTCTCTGTTTAATATCCCAAACATAGACTGGGGTAAAAAAAAAATTAGTTCGTGTTAGGTCATGTTTATCTACACGGATCCGTTATTTTCAGTTTAAGATAATACATCGTATAGCTGGTGCTAATAAATATCTTAAATTATTAAATATTTCGCAGTCAGACCTATGTTCATTTTGTTATAGCTCCGTGGAATCTATAGAACATCTATTTTGGGATAGCCCAATCATTAGAACTTAAGGTTTATTGCGGATGTCCAAAATTTCATTTTTTAATTGGATAAGGTTACTTTGAATAAAAATAATTTCATATTTGGGTTTTATGGAAACGTTGGAGTTCAATTTTATTTAATTATTTTATATGCCAAATACTATGTATTTTCCAACAAATGCAAAAATAGCTTACTCTCACTAAATTCTTTTAAATACATGCTAAGATATTATCGTTCTCTTGAACAATACATTGATGTTAAAAATAACAAATTTGTATCATTTGATAATAGGTGGAAAAACATTGTGTTGCTTTAAAAAAGATATTTATCTTGTATAATCAGCTATATTCTTGTTGTTGATTGTATTGGTTATAATTATTATGTATGTAGTTTTGTTATGCCGTGTTTTGTAAAGTCGAAAGCAATATTGAATATAGATGATTTTATTGAAGAGGGACAAAAATATCAGGAAAGTAGGCAGGCCATGGCAACTGTTGCACCCTCTCTGTGTCAACGCACCCGTTGCCTTCCATTTGTGAGGTGGTCGAGATCTCGAGATCATTAGGGACTTTTAGATTTGCACGACGACAACGTGGATTGCTACGATCGACGTCCTTTTCAATGCACTGCCTTGAATGGACGTCACACATATCAGTCCACGCAAATCTAAAAGTCCCTAATGACAATCATGCAGGACAGACAGATCCTATGAACGAGACGCGTCTTTTTTTAACCTAACCTTGCCATCCTATCGCTGCATTATTGGCTCAATAGGAACCATTATGTCATGCACTGATGGTTTGTTTGTTCTTTTGTTTATTTTTTGTTAGTATACTTTTTGTTTTTGTTTGTCTTATTACATTATATTCCATTATGTTTTTGTTTGTCCAATGGATAATTATGCCGTATTTTGTTAGTCTGCATAAATCTTAACAATCCAATCACATCTCACTTACATGTACAACAAGTGAAACTTATAATTTCTTATATAGTTAGGACAATAAAGTGGTTTTTTCTCTCTTTTTTTCGTGTTTGTATTTATATTGTTCATGTCGTATTCTCTACTTTTCATGTATGATTGCCATATTGTATAATATTGTATTTATGTTTAGCACAGGCTAGGTTTAGATCATTCCTATTTATCGTTATACTTTTATATTGTTGTTTTGTTGTATTCTGTATTATTTGTATTATTAAGCTATGCTTGTATTCTTTATTATGTATCATTATCATGAAATGTACATGTGTTGTCCTCTCATACCCCCAGAAGGGGGTCGAATGAGTCAATAAATCCTATCTATTCTATTCATGATGCGCACGCACACAGAATTTATTTATCAAATATGAGATTTCATACAAAAATTACAAGTGCAAAGCTATTTTTACTTTAAAAGAATGACATTGCGAGAAAATCGGATGGCTTACCGTAAACGAATGACTACCCAGGTTATAACTTGTCTATAATAATCATTGCGACATACCATGGTTATTTAAAGTCCAGAATCTGGCCGATTTAATTTTGATCTCCACCACACCCGTACCAACGCAAATATTCATAATATTCAAATATTAATATGCAGGCAGCGTGGCAAGGTTAGGTTTAGCCAATAGAAACCAATAAGACAAATAGAACCCAATGGGACCAATAAAAACCAATAGGAGTAGTATAAACCGATACTAGGACCAATAGAAACCAATATGTTCAATAGAAACCAACAAATCTATGTATCTCATGCATATTTACGATTACTTTACACGTTTTCACAGAAAATACATTTATCATGATTTGTCAAACAAATTATGACAATGCACATCAATTTTGTGATTTGTATTTTCCTTCGGCAATTATTGACCAGTATATTACTTGTCTGATAATGTTACGATTAGATTCACGTTTTAACAATATATATGTTGATTAAATGATTACTATTAGGTAGGTTACAACTGGGAGAATTTATGTACAGGTCTGAAAATGGACTATTACCAAACTCACTTCAAAACTGGTTTAGATGCAACAGTGATGTACATTGTTATAACACCCGAAACTCCGAGAATTTGCATAGCCTTTATTACAGAACTGCTACTGGCCAAAGAAGTGTTAAGTATCAGGGTTGCCTTACATGGTCTACTTCAGATGACAGTTTCAAACAATCTGCATCATTACGACAATTTAAGTTGAAATATAAACAATATCTTTGCAATTCTAAATAGTCATATCAATTTAAAAATAATCATTATTATGTTTCAAATCGCAATTATGTTTTCATCGGGTCATTTAATCTAATTATAAACCAGACATTTGAAGGGAGAGTCCACCCTGAGGATGGGTTTACTACTCCGCCTTTACTTGGCCACACACATTCTCAGGGTGGACTTCCCCTTCATTGCTACCGGGCTAGACTCGATAAGCTTCGCTTTTTCTAGCCCCATCGACATTACTTACCTTTTTATGTTTTAATGTTGATTTTTGTTAACTGATGTAGATTTTCATTGTTTTTTATGCTTATGTATCTGTTTTTCATTTGCTCTATGTGTGAAATGTGCATGTACAGTGTATTCTGTTATTTTGTATATTTTTCTGGTTTTTAATGTGGAAAATAAATGAAATGAAATGAAAACTAACCAAGAAACAACATGCATGTTTATTATATATATGTGTACGAGCCTGTATCACTTAAAAGGTTAATCTTGATTTAGGCAGAAATAATCTTTTTAGTTTGGTCAGCCTTAAAACACAAGAACAACAAGAACAACAAGAACAACAACAATCACTTCAAATGATCTTTGTGATCACTGGCGTACTGGATGGGGGAACTTGGGGGGGGGGGGTGGTGCGCTAGCCCCCCATCCAAATAAAATTAAACCATGACTTATTTTCAATTCCATGTCAAGTGATTTAGAAATGTTCGTGATATCACATGATTTTCACAAAAATGCGCGTTTCTCCATTTCTGTTTTATTTATTTTGTATTTATTTTATTTCCAGCCAAGATGATAACATACAAAACATCACAAAGTTTACAAATGATATAACATAAACATAATGATACTTAGCACCAGCCATGCCTGAGGATAAACTAAAAGAATTTAAAATTTTTGTCTAGAGGCTCTCCACATTGGCTGGTGCATACATAAAACAAAATAAGGACAAAAGATAAGGTCAACATAATGCATAAATGAATTTGTAATTAAAACTTAACGGTAATATACATGTAGATCAAATACTGTTAGGATTATTATCAAAAAGAATTGAAAAAAGAGCTGTTCAAACTATGCATTAAATGCAGAAAACTGTCTGTTTATACAGTCATGTGGATACGGTAATATTGGAAGTAAGCAAAACTGTATAACATTATTAATTTGATTTGATTTGAAGTTATCCAAATTGTGGAACATTCTTATTGATATGATTGGAATTTATAAAAATTGGGGAACATTGGTTAGGGTTAGGGTTGGGGGGGGGGGGGGGTAAGCGGACATTTTTTTTTTTTTTTTTTTTTTTGGAGTCCCAAAAAAAATCGCAACGACTCAGCCAGCCGAAAAGTCGCTCAGTGGGGGAGGGGGGGGGTCCTCGAAATTTTTAAAATCTGCACCCCCCCCCCCTTGAGCGCCAGGGGGGGGGGGCCCAACCCCCCAAAAAGGTAAAAATCGCGTGATTTTGCATGATTTTTTTTCTCAGGGGGGGGGGCCGGCCCCCCCCCCCTGGATCCGCCACTGGCATGCACAGATTTGCGAACGAACGTTCCATACGTACATCATGATCATGTAACACGTGCTGCCCAGTGGGGAAACTGAATTCAAACAAGCATATGGCTCCGTTTAGTCTCATTTCACAACGCCCCCTATCGTCAGAGCATGGTCAGATTCAGCAGCCTAACATGTTAGCCTATGGACGTTTTTTAAAAAATCGTTACAAATTCATTTTTTGTTTAAACGAAAAGCACATCCACCCCGACGTACGTTATCACTAGCTCTTTCATTGGAGCCCTCAAGTCTCATTGACTTTTGAAAGTTCACCCACCGTAATTTTTCAAAATATGTTGCAAGCTCGTCATTGCCTATAATACACATGTGAAACAAGTCTAACTTTGGACTCAGTTTACCAAGCGATTTGAAGATTATAGGTCGAGCACACGAAACATAAAAAGCATGAATTATCATAGATCACTTCTGCCTATTTCGTTTTGTCCATTTCATCCAACGTACCCCCACCGTAATCTTTCCATTTAGTAAAAGCAAACATTTTGCCGAGTTTAGCAAAACATGAATATTCATGAACGGTCAGACAATACAGCTTTTTAGTACGTAACGTAT